GCAACCTCCGCCTCCTGGGTTCAGGCAATTCTCCTGCCTCAGCCTCCTGAGTAGCTGGGATTACAGGCACGCGCCACCATGCCCAGCTAATATTTGTATTTTTAGTAGAGACGGGGTTTCATCATGTTGACCAGGATGGTCTCGATCTCTTGACCTCGTGATCCACCCGCCTCGGCCTCCCAAAGTGCTGGGATTACAGGCGTGAGCCACCGCGCCCAGCCTAGGTTGTTTCTTTTTAGCCCTGTAGCCTTCATCACTTGCAATGAGATAGCCCTTTGAAGGTATAATTGATTAGAAGATAATGAAAACGCTGTTGAACCGTGGTTTCAAAGAATGAATATATTTTCATTGCTGGAGTAAGACCTCAAGAACTTTTATCCAGCTAAGGATGATGATGATGGTTGATTTCAGCTAACATTAAGTGCTTTCCTGTGTTAGTGTGCTTAGTGCTTTATGCACATTTTCTCATTAAAGCATCACAATAACCCCAAGGGAGGTAGAATCATTGCTTTTAGATGAGGAAGATTGAGGCCTTGAGAGAGATTCAGTAACCTGCTCAAGGTCAGGCAGGTACTGCCCTGCAGTTGGAATGCCTGAATCATTCAAGGTAGATGATGGACTTTGTTCTGAGTAAAAGCCAGCCAAGACAGAGGAGCTGGCACAGCAGCAACCCTTCCTCGGTTTCACTATTTAATCATGCTTATTTCAAGATATTTTTTCGATCTCTTACTCAGCTGTTAATTGTTTATGATCAGTCTTATCTAATCAAGGAAGTAAGTATTTTCTTCGTAATAGCCCTTTATAAGATAGTTGACAATCGAAGCCATTATCTTTTTAAGGAACTTTTTGCTGATCACTGAAGTATAATACTTGTTCACTGAAGAAATTTTGGAAAATGAAAAGGCATAAAGGGAAATAATAATCAATGCTTATGCTTTATGTAAATTACCTCATTTAATCCTCACAACCATCTTGTGAGGTAAGCAGTGTCCCCATTTTATAAATGAGGAAAATAAGGTTTAACAGGGTTAAGCATCTCATCTAAGTGCAATCAGCTACCAAGTGGTAGAGCTGGAGTTTGAACCCTGGCTTTCTAACACTATGTCTGTCTTCTGTATTGCCTCCCCATAGTAACATCTTTCCTCGCATACCTTTTCAACCCCACATACTTTTTTTTCTCTTTTTTTGAGACAGAGTCTTGCTCTGTCACCCAGGCTAGAGTGCGGTGGCGCAATCTTAGCTCATTGCAGACCGGGTCAAGTGACCCCAGCCTTCCGAGTAGCTGGGATTACAGGCGCCTGCCACCGCACCCGTCTAATTTTTGTATTTTTAGTAGAGATGGGGTTTCACCATCTTGGCCAGGCTGGTCTCTAACTCCTGATCTCGTGATCCACCCACCTCAGCCTCCCAAAGTGCTGGGATTATAGGTGTGAGCCACTGCGCCCAGCCAACCCCTCATACTTTTAAATAATTATGTATTTGAGCTCATGCCATATATTCAGTTTTGTATCCTGCCTACTTACTGGATCATCTTAGTTTCATGATGTCATTAGAAATTCTTTAGATACCATTTTTAATAGCTATAGAATATTCCTATTTATGGATATACTATAACACATAGTATGCAATAATGGTTCAGAGTTTGGATTCTGGAATGAGAGTGTGTGGGTTCAAATTCTGGCTTTGGCAGTTACTATGCAGGTTATATAATGCTGTGTGCCTCAGTGTAGTAATCTAAAATGGAAGTTGATAATATTTACATTGTTGAGTTGTCTTGAGGATTAAATTAATTATACATGATATGAAGATTAAATGAATTAATACTTGTATTAATTAAATTAATTAATTAAACTGTCCACATGTGGAGCTTGTTCAAATACAGATTCTGATTCAGTAGGTTTAGGTGGGCCTTGAAAATGTGTATTTTGATTAAGCTCCTAAGAGATGTGTTGTCCTTCAAAGTAATTAGCAAGGAAGTAAAGTACTTAGATTGATGTCTGGCACCTAGCAAGTGCTCAGTAAATGTTACCTATTTCAGTTGTTTCAAATCATGCAAATCTTAGAAGTTGTGTTGCTTTGACTAAACCATTGCCCATGAATTGTCACATTGCTGGTTTCCCTAGGCTAGGTCCTGGAAATGGGATTACTGGGATTAAAATTACCCTGTATTGGCTGGGCGCGGTGGCTCAAGCCTGTAATCCCAGCACTTTGGGAGGCCGAGGTGGGTGGATCACGAGGTCAAGAGATCGAGACCATCCTGGTCAACATGGTGAAACCCCGTCTCTACTAAAAATACAAAACATTAGCTGGGCATGGTGGTGCGTGCCTGTAATCCCAGCTACTGAGGAGGCTGAGGCAGGAGAATTGCCTGAACCCAGGAGGCGGAGGTTGCGGTGAGCCGAGATCGCACCATTGCACTCCAGCCTGGGTAACATGAGTGAAACTCTGTCTCAAAAAGAAAAAAAAAAAATTATCCTGTATTTTTTCTGAGTTATTCATTACTACTTTATGTTTTTTTCAACCATGAGTTATCATTTGAATATAACTCAAGAATTATTAATTTATAGAATTTTAGCACTTGAAGAAACCTTAGAGAGATCATCTGGTGGTGAAACTAAATCTACCCAACAATACTCCTACCTTGCCATTTGGAAATATGTGTTGGGGGGCAGGGTGTTTTGGTTGTCATAACTGTTGGGAAGAGTTATAGCTTAGAAGTGGCAAGGGCCATAGAGGCCTATTGAAATGTGTGTGCCAAGGGCCATGGCTCAACCCTATAAACCTAGCACTTTGAGAGGCCAAGGTGGGAGGATTGCTTGGGCTCAGGAGTTCAAGATCAGCCTGGGCAACATGGTGAAACCCCTTCACTACCAAAAATATTAATACAAAAAGTTAGCCACGCATGGTGATGTGCACCTGTGGTTCCATTGCGTGTGCTGCTTGGGAGGCTGAGGTAGGAGAATCAGTTGAGCCTGGGAGGCGGAGGTTACAGTGAACTGAGATTGTACCACTGCATTCCAGCCTGGGCAACAGAGAGACTCTGTCTTAGAAAAAAAAAAAAATGTGTGTGGGACAACCCTGTACAGCCAAGTATTGTCCTGCCCCAAAAGTCAGAAACTGTCCCCTTAGGAATCACTGAGACCATTTCCCTTTGTTTAATAAATGTGAAAACAGGCTCAGAGGGTTCAGGTTGAAAGCACATTCCTGCAGCTGCCTGGTAATAGATTGATTTTGTCTCCCAATCTGCTGGTTCTTACAGTTATAATATTTGGCTTATCTTTTCTATTGAACTGTTTTGAGTGATAAAAATGACTCATCAGTGAAGCTTGGTGTAATCATTGCGTACTGTCTGAAAAGTTGTTAACAAGATCATTCGTGTTAAAATGGATTGCCGTTTGGCTCATGGTCATATACTTTTTTTTAGTCATCAAAGTAACCAAGGTTTTTAAAAATTTTTTACTTTTTTATTACCAGATGAGAAGAGAAACTAAGATTTCTAAATAGTCAGTAGCTATCTTATAAAATTAGCTGAGAACCAATAGTGTATATACTATATTATATAGTACAGAAAATAGCATCCTTGGGATTGGGATGCTGAGTTCTGGTTCCCGTTTGCTGAGTGACCTCTTTTAAGTCACTAACATTTTGTTTACCATATTTTGAAATTATAAAGGTGGAATGAAAAATCCTGTTTTAGGATACATACTGAACTGATTACCACTGAATAGGGGAAAAAGAGGTTTTTTTCAACATTTTTGTAGTATTTAAAAATTTTAAAAGATTGCATTCTGTGTTAGAAAATTGGAATATAAATAAATACTTTTCTCTTTTTGGAAACATTTTTTGTACATTTTAAAACTTCTGAAATCAGCATGTATATATTAGAGTTGGTGGTAGGTTATAGTTTAATTGGCAGAAATTTTTTTTTCTTTTTTCTTTTTTTTTTTTGAGATGAGGTTTTTTGTTTATTTATTTATTTTTTGAGATGAAGTCTCACTCTGTCACCAGGCTGGATGGAGTGCAGTGATCTCGGCTCACTGCACCCTCCACCTCCCGGGTTCAAGCAGTTATCCTGCCTCAGCCTCCCAAGCAGCTAGGACTACAGGCATGTGCCACCATGCCCAGCTAATTTTTTGTATTTTTAGTAGAGACAGGGATTCACTATATTGACTAGGCTGGTCTTGAATTCTTGACCTCGTGATCCACCTGCCTTGGCCTCCTAAAGTGTTGGGATTACAGGTGTGAGACGTCGTGCCCAGTTTGAGATGAAGTTTTGCTCTTGTTGCCCAGGCCGGAGCACAATGGCACGATCTTGGCTCACAGCAACCTCCGCCTCCTAGGTTCTTTGATTCTCCTGCCTCAGCCTCCTGAGTAGCTGGGATTGCGGTGTGCCCCATCATACCTGGTTAATTTTGTATTTTAGAGATGAGGTTTCTCCATCTTGGTCAGGCTAGTCTTGAACCCCAGCCTCAGGTGATCTGCCTACCTTGATCTCCCAAAGTGCTGGAATTACAAGGGTAAGCCACCGTGTCCGGTCATTTTTTTTTTTTTTTTTAAATAGAAATTGGATCATTGTGTGATGTCAAGTTTAGAGTACAGTGGCTATTCACAGGCCCTGTCATAACAGGCTATATACAGCCTTGACCTCCTGGGCTCAAGTGATTCTCCTGACTCTGCCTCCTGAGTAGCTGGGACTACAGGGGCACACTACTGCACCTGGCTAGGTTTTTCTTTTTTTTTCTTTTTTTTTTTAGAGACAGGGTTTCACCATGTTGGCCAGGCTGTTTTCAAACTCCTGACCTCAGGTAACCCACCTGCCTCGGCCTCCCAAAGTGCTGGGACTACAGGCCTGGGCGACTTTGCCCAGCCAGATTTTTCTTTCTTAATGGTTATCCTGACATCAGCTGGCAGAGTTAGTACAGACTTCACAAGATAAAGGGCAAGGTCCCCAACAAGACTGCTCTTCAGACTCCAGGTGCACTTCTGACCAGCTGTCTACAAATTTGAGATTTGCCACAACCCTCTCAGGTTTAGTAGAATAACTTACAGAACTCAGGAAGGTGCTGTACTTAAAATTACAGTTTTAGCTTGATGCAAATCAGAGCCAGCCAACTGAAGAGACACATAGGGTGAGGTCTAGAAGAGTCTCAAATACGGAACTTTGTGCCCTCTCTCAGTGGAATCAAGGCCTATCACCCTCCTACCATATTGAACAGTTTATCAGCTAGGATACTCCACTGAGCTTCAGTACAATGTTTTTATTGGGGCTTCATTATGAAGGCATGACTGGTTGAATCTTTGACCTCATGATTCAACTCAGTCTCCAGTCCTGTGTACTTCCCCAACCAGGTCAGGCTGGCTTAGAGTCCCAACCCTCTAATCACATGGTGGTTGGTCTTTTCTGGTGACCAGCCCCTGTCCTGAGGGGCTCATGAGTAACAAAGACACTCCTATTATTCAGCAAATGGTAAAGATTAGAGTCTCCTCCCAGGAACCAAGGACAAAGACTGGCTGTATTCTTTATTATTCAGCTGTGGTGTTTAAAAAGTAGTGTACCTTTTAAATCATGATATATTAGACAATGAAATAATGGTTACTTTAAAACATAACTTTTTTAGGTTTCTTGGTGTGAATAAGTTAACACGCAAAGTGGCTTGAACTCTCTTCTGCATAAATTATTTTAACTATATGTAAAATAATTTGGTTTGCGTGAAAAGCAGAACCTAGATTTTATGAAACCAACACAGGTTCCTACCCTGATGTTATTGTGTACTAATTGTGTGACTCTGAATCTTGTTTTTCTTATTTGTGGAATAAACATAGTTTTGTAATAATTTAAAACTTTTAGCATAGTGTCAGGTATTAAATATTTGTTGAAGTATCCTTATTGTTTCTATTTGTATTATTATCTGTAGTATTGATTTTACCATTTGCAAATTTTACCTTTATAGGCAGTCAAGGATTGAGTTTTAATCCGAATTTGATGCAGAGCGTAGTACTGCACTTTCTTAGGGTCTTTGATTAGATGTGTTTGATTTTAGTAATATATGGGTTGGCCCCCCACTATTAACTAAAACTTTTGTGAAATGATACTTGGAATGAAATTTACTCTTCTCTTACATATATCTTAACTATGGGGACTGCTTAGAATAACTAATATAGAAGGATACTACTCTTGGCTAAGAGGTATAATCTGCTGTTAATAGCATTGCTGTATCTGTTGGCTGGTTTGGAAGGAAATTACCACATACACATATATTCAAATTTACATGGACTATAGTAGTTCTTAGAAGCATTCCATGCAAACCAAAACTGTTACTCCAAAACTATTGTTTCCTTAAAACAGTAGTAGAAGTAGTTCAAATGCTCAATGGAACTTTTTGTTGCCAGCATTACTTTCTCTCGCACCTGTTTTGCAGTTTATAATTTCCTTTTGATTCGTGAGAGATTTCACAAACAGCTAATTACCAGACTATTAAACTTTTGAACTTTGAAACACAAAATTGAGCTGTAAGCACGTTGCAACGTTTTTCTCCCTGATACTGTCTACTCTCTTCAGCTGATGACTTTGATGAGTAAATGGAATTAGTCCTTCATTTTACTTGTTTTTGTACTTCTTGAAATATTACTTGTTTACTTAAAGAAAATACTTTCTTAGAGTAGAAATGTATGAGGAGGGCTGGGCATGGTGGCTCACACCTGTAATCCCAGCACTTTGGAAGGCCAAGGCGAGTGGATCACTTGAGGTGAGGAGTTGGAGACCAGCCTGGCCAATGTGGTGAAACCCTGTCTCTACTAAAAATACAAAAATTAGCCGGGTGTGGTGGTACGTGCCTGTAATTCCAGCTACTTAGGAGGCTGAGGCAGGAGAATCGCTTGAACTCAGGAGGTGGAGGTTGCAGTGAGCTGAGATCATGCCACTGCACTCCAGCCTGATGACAGAGCAAGGCAGCAAGGCTCCGTCTCAAAAAAAAAAGAAAAAAGAAAAAAGAAAAGAAAAGAAATATATGAGAAGGGTTTCCAAAGTCTACAGAGCCTTTTAGGCCAGGAAATTTGATCATGTAAAATATGTCAGAATTAGGATGCTTCCATTTCTCAGTTTTCTAGAGAGAAATAGAAAAATTGAGCACATGAGATTTAGCCTGAAAGTATAATTATTTGTTGGTCCTGAATATGTGATCACTATATGGAATTATGGTGTTTAAATACATTGAACAGCAGAGGTCAGGTAGAATTTGTATTATCTTAGGAAGATGTCTTAGATACCTAATAGAACCTTGATTTCTGAAATACCCCAAAGATCACCTGGCCCAGTTTGATTATTACAGGTCTTTCTTCTAAAATGTATGTAACAGATGGCTATCCAGGTCTCTCTGAGCAGTTTTGAAAGGCTGTTTGTTTCATGGTTGAGCAACTCTAATCGTTAAAATTCTTCTTCATATTTAGCTTAAATCTGCCTATGCACGTTCTCATTGTTCTGAGTCCCATTCTTTGGAGCAGTACAGAATAAGTTCAATCCGTCTCAACATTTGAAGATCTCTCTCTTTATTCCTTACTCTCCTTGTCTTCAAGTTAATCCTACAGTTTATTCATATATGTGGTTAGTTGACCTCTCTCCAGGATGCAGTTTATTAAAAGTCCCCCTTAAAATGTGTCTTTCTCAGAAGAATCCAACCATTGTGCAGGGAAAATGCCTAATGTTATCATAGACAATGAATTTTGTAAAGTTTGATTTTCTTTGGCTAGAGATTAATTGTAATTGATGTCTCCACAATCTGAAAAGTTTATTTCCCATTTCTCTTTAATTCAGTCTTTATTTTTTTCTTTCTTTTTCTTTTTCACAGACAAGAATAATTCAGTCCTTATTGGTCATTATAGGCTTTTTGTTCTTTGATCATTCCCTCATGTAGCAGTTTATTCTGAGTTTATTTGATAGTTTCTGGAAGCTAAAATACTGAACTGAGCAGTCAGGAGAGGCCAGGTGGTTATTTTATTTTTGTCTTTTTTGTACATCAGTATGATTTCTATTCCTATTTTGTTGCAGTTGTTTATCTTCAGCTATGTAGTGTTCCATGATATTTTTTCCTTCAGTCTTGTTGCCAATAGCATTTTCTAGTTCTTCAACTACACAGTGCAGACCTTGTTCATATCTTTTTGCCATGATGGGAAATGCATCATGTTTCTTATAGTTATTAATAATATAATTCTTAAGTTTTCTAAACAGAGTTCTTTAAATGTTCTCTCAGACCTTTTGAGCACGTACAGGCTTTCCTGTGCATGCTTTTGGTTGTTGTTTGAGATGGGAGAAATATTCTATTTTTATTCTAACTAAAATTGATTGCAATCTTAAAATTTTTTAGAATAATAATTGTCAACATCTTATTGAAGACTTATTACATGTGAGATATTTTGCTAAGCACTTTTATACTATATAGTATCTTGTTGTAAGTAAATAAATAAATTTAAAAATCTTCAGAGTTAGGTACTATTGTTATTCCTTTGATACTGATGAGGATTTAAAACAGTGAGAGTAAATAACTTGTACTGGGGCATGCAGTTGGTAAGTGGCAGGACTAAGACTTGAACCCGGGCAGTTGACTGTTGGAGCCCATATGTTTACCCACTGTATTTATAACTGTTTGGTTTCTGGTAAAAGCATTATAAAAGAGCCTGACCTCGTGATCTGCCCGCCTTGGCCTCCCAGAGTGCTGGGATTGCAGGTGTGAGCCACTGTGCCTGGCCTCATTTTTGTTTTTTTAAATATTTTTCAGTATTTTAAGTCTGTAATTTAAAATACAGTGTCACCAGAGGCCACAAGTGATTTCAGGACTTTCTGATTTTACCTTAGTGTTCAATTAGGACCATGTAGTAGAATGATTTTTAGGGAATTATTTTAAGGTGAATAAATAAATGGAAATTCTGAATTTTAATTTCTAATTTGGTAAATTTCAGTAGATACAACTCATGTAAACAGAAGCTCTTTGGGGTCAAAGTGTAAAGGGGCCTTGACACAAAAACATTTAAAAACCACTTTTTTTTTCTTTTTTTTTTTGAGATGGATTCTCACTCTGTCGCCCAGGCTGGAGTGCAGTGGCATGATCTAAGCTCATTGCAGCCTCTGCCTCCTGGGTTCAAGCAGTTTTCCTGCCTCAGCCTCTTGTATAGCTGGGATTACAGGCGCCTGGCTCCATGCCCGGCTAATTAAAAAAATCACTTGTTTAGATTAGTTGTATCATAGGATATTAAAGAAAATCTTGACCTAGGAATGAAAATCAAGAGCAGATTTTGTATATTGAGTTACTACTCAGCCATGAAAACGAATGAAGTCATGTATTTGCAGCAACATGTATGGACCTGGAGGTAATTATCTTTAGTGAAATAACTCAGAAACAGAAAATCAAATACCACATGTTCTCTTACAAGTGGAGGCTAAATAATAGAGTGTGGGTAATAGACATTGGAAAAGCAGAAGAGTGGAGGGTGGGATGAGGGTGAAGGATGAGAAATTACTTAATATAATGTACATTATTCAGGTGATGATTACACTAAAGGCCTAGACTTCACTACTGAGCAGTATATTCATTTAACAGAATAGCCTTGTACCTCTGAAATTTATACAAATACAAATAAAAGTATTAGAAAATTAAATGAAGCATTTTTGTGACTTACCAAATATATATATATTTTTGAATTGTGTAATCAGGAGACTGGAACCTACTGAAAGACCTCTTCAGATCGTTTATGATTACTTATCCAGGCTGGGATTTGATGATCCTGTGCGTGTACAGGAGGAGGCTACAAATCCTGACCTCGGCTGTATGATTCGATTTTATGGGGGTAAGAATTTATCAGTGGCTTTTTATGTTAACTACTTTTAAGTTGATCATTTGTGTGTCTGTCTGCCGTCAGCTTTTTCAAAGTATTTTATCAAAGACTAGTTTTAAGCCAATTAACTAATGTAGTTAAAAC